CTGTTTGTCTATGAGAAGCAACTTACTTCCCTTCCTCCAGTATTTAAAAGTATGATAATGCTTAAGACAGACAGAAGTGTGGTATATTTGTTGTTTATCCTGCATTGCTATTAAGATCAAAATCTTCATTAAAAGCAAACGAGCAGCTACAACAGTGGTAGTGACTTACTGCGGTCCACAGATTTTACGTGACAAGTTACAAGCTGCTTAAACTGGCCCAACCTGCATCATGTTTGGGTTCCGTGCATGAAAATATAAATATACACACACATACACTGATCTAACTGACATACATTACACAATCAAGCAGGAGTGAAATGTGTTTCTTATTAAATAAACGTGGGTGGTCGGCTTGTCAAGCAGCGTTGTGCCGATGAATTCTGTAAAGCAGAGCAACGCTTAATTCTACGTGCACAGCCCTCTGAGGAGGACACAGCTATGCTTCATTCTTCTACCAAGGTGTATTAACATCTCTTTCAACCAGTACAGTAGAAAGGTGGTCCCATCGTCACAGGAAGCAATATTATGACACAATACAAACACCAAGCTTTGACTACCAATTTCTTTCTATTCTACGTTTTTAACTGCATCTTAAAAAGTAAAGTTATGTGCCATTTGAAACAAAATATACATCATCTACCATACAGTTAAAAATCAGACTTTATCGTAAGTTTTTTTCAGATAACACTTTCTTCCTATGTTATTTAAATGGCAGGGATGTAGTCTGGAGGAAACAAACGTTAACTCACGAACAGAAATCAGCAAAAATACACTCTACAAAGCAGTCTTTGAAGCAGATGGGAAAATTCAACCAAACAGGGCTAGGCTAGCGACAGCACTGCTCGTACATCTTTCACCATGGTGCCCTCCCCTCTGTGGGTACCGGGGTTTTTTGGTTGTTTTGTTTGGGTTTGGTTTTAAACAACAATTGTGTCCCTAATGCGAGCGTTATTTCAATATGCATAAATAGCTCCCTGAGGACTGTATGGAGCTGGAAGAGGATTTCTGGTGTCCATTAAGGGCACAGGTTCCCCTTAACGCAATTAGTGAATTTGTGCCTCCTTCTTCACCCAGACACTCATTCTGCATTTAATTTGTAGGTACTGATCTCCTATCCTCTTGTCATAGTTGGCCAAAACTGACAAATATTTTAAGTAAAGATTGGTAAGAGTCTGCAAAAACACATGGTGTGCAAGAGGCTTTCACAGAAATGACCCACTAACAAAGCTACACTCACAGGAAATAACTAATGTAATTTTGCTTTCATTTAATTACATTATTTTAAAGAATAAGAACGATTGATAGCTTTTCTTTTATGAACTTCAGAATACTAGATGACCTCTAGGGGTCCCTTCCAACCCAAAACATTCTATGATTCTATGATTCTACCCTCTCAATTTGTTCCAAGACGACGTGCAAAATCATCCTTTGTGTTATAAAGTTTCTTGTAAATGCAAAATTCTGAATTTTGAAATCTGTTTTTTTTCAAACTCATTTGTGAAGACTGCTGTAAAATCTCAAGAGAGACCTGCATTTTCTGTTACACAAAATTACAACTGCGGATGTTCTTCTATCATATTTCACTAGAAAATGTCTACATTTTTAGTAGGGCTGAAGTAATGAGCTACTTAATGACATATAGTGTGTTCAATTCATTTTGGTTTCTTGCCCAAAAAATTCGCTTCAATACCACTGCCACCCCACAAGCAAATTTATACCACAAGTGAAAATTTATACTTCCAAAGACAAACTTTCATCTCTCTTGCGGTAAACCTTATGCAGTATATCAAGAATTTTCAATAAATATACCTCTCTTCATGTTCTATAGTTTCTGCATATTATACAAAGTATTTTCTCTATTAAATGCAGATTTGGTTGGTGTTTTCTTTTTCTTCTAGAAAGAGAAAGGAAATAATATCTTTCCACCGACAAACTTTAAAAAACTTGAAACAAAAGGAAAAATAAAATCCTTTCTATTGGCTTGAGCTTTTCTAGCTATGATTGGCAAATGCTAGGCTGATGACATTAAATTTTTCATTTAAGGTTAAAATAACGCATCAAAATATTACAGCTCAGAGCAGAAGCAAACCACATTGTTAGGACAACAACCTAATTTAGTCCCCCTGCCAGTGTTGCACTTTGGTAGATTTTATGGAACAACACTTCACCAATAAAAACCAGATGGTCTGTGCACTGGTAAAGCAAAGTGGATGTGGCATGGCAGGGCTCTTCCCAGTACCTCTCTGACAAATATTAGGGATGAAATCACAGCACAGCACAGCTGAACTCAACAGGATTTTGGTCACTGAACTCAACATGGCCAGAATCTCATCCTCGAAAGTTATGAGTCATCCATACGCTCTCACATCACAGCAAATTCATAAACAGGCTACTGAAATCACATTTCATTTCAACTTAATTATTCGCAGTGATGACATATTAGGTTATTACATGAAAATATCATTCTGGACCAATGTTGTTACTATTAAATTTGCTGCTTCATCAAGCTTACATGTCTTTTCATCATTTGTTGCCACAGGATTCTTTATCATTGCTCATAGTAAATCTCAATAACCACTAAAATTTAGGTACCCAGGAAAGCAAACACTGGTCGGGTTCACACGGGGCGTATTTTTTCCAGGAGGCATACGCAATCCCCAGTTTGTTATGGACTGGTTCCCAAAAGAAAGCAACACACTAGTCAACATGAAGAAATAAAGCTATGTTTCAGATACCTGGATCCCAAACCTGCCGAAGCGTGCTTATGACATCAAAGACACAGACAGTGGTTTCTGTGCCCGTCACTCAGAACGCTGCTGCTTATGATCCACTGCTGTTCCATTTCTGCCATCGTAGACCTTTTTCTGACTGCAGGGATCACTTCTATAATCCAATTTCTTCATGGTCAGAATGCCTCATATAAATGACATAATCCCTAGCTTGAGCATTCAGTCACATTAGCACATTCCTTCCCCATGCTCACATTTTCAAAAACCTGTTCTTCCTGCACAAATAGTTATAAACTCATTCATTTAGGGTGAGTGAGTTTAGAGTGAGTAAACCCACTTGTTAGGGTGGTGAAACCCTGGCAGGGGTTGCCCAGAGAGGGGGTGGAGGCCCCATCCCTGCAAACATTCCAGGCCAGGTTGGACGGGGCTGTGAGCAACCCGCTGGGGGTCAAGGTGTCCCTGCTCCTGCAGGGGGGTTGGGCTGGGTGACCTCTGGGGGTCCCTTCCCACCCAAAACATTCTATGATTCTATGATTTGTGCTCACAGATTCAAGCAATGGGGAAAAGGGCTGCTGGTGACTCGCTTTAACATTGGAGCAAGGTTCATTTCTTCATGTTTCTAAAATCTATTGTCAACAAAAATCTAAGTTTTAAAACCACAATGGAACATGGTCACTTACATTGATGAGATCAATAGATAAACAGGTTTTGGAGATCAAAGTTATTTTGAATCATAATCTTCCTGAAAAATACATATTTAATATATTTGTAGCAGAAGCCTGAAGTCTTCTGCTTCGGCTGTGTAATGAGACAAAAACTGGCCTAATGCAGCAAACTGGAGGGGTTAGTTTTGCCTATCGATCTCCCCGAGAAAGCCAGCAAATTACCAGGAACAAAAGCAGGTCAGTAGGACCGTATTCCCTCAACTCAGGTCAGTGTAAAGAAAGCACAGCAGTCTCATTATCAAATATTCTGCACGTTTTCTTCCACGTAACTATCAAACACATTGCCCTAACAGAAGCATAAAAACAAAACATCAAATTCTTCAAACACCATTCAAAATAAGCTCTCTGGCTATGTTCTTAAGCCTTAATTGGCATTTCAAATTGGCAATTGCATACAAAACACTCTAGTATAAAAAAATTATTCCCACTCTACTAATCCATTGGTGACCTACATAAGATGTGACTATGAAGAATCTTTTAACAGTGACATCTACTGGTATATTAAAATCTAGTTCAATTAGTAAAGTTGGTCATTTTTAGACTCTCTCAATTCCACGCTAACATTTAAGTTTGATTCCTCTTTACACGCATAGCAGAGGTATCACGCAGGAGCTGCAACACTTGTGTCAGATGCCTGGCTGTTTGAAAGCCCTTCTGCTACCTCCTTTACTGGAAAATATTTACACCATAGTGGATGGAACAGACTTCACTGTCCTCAACGTATTCATTGAGTAATCCTTTACTAGAACTCACCGTAACAGGGCAAGATGCACACGTCCAGATTCTTCTCCACTCAAAACTGTGGCTATGCCTACTATATTCTAGACATCCTTGCTGTATATCAACAAGATGCATATGTCCAGATTCTTTTCACTTAAAACTAGTGGCTACACCTACTATATTCTATATGCAAAACACATTTGATTCCTTTTAAATTGACAAAAATTGCATCTTCAATATAAGTAATATCTGTTCATTACTGCACAATAGCTTTAATAACCAAGATTCACGCACACTGGAGCAGACAGAAGTACATCAGCATCATATACATTCCTGTTACGAATCCACAGACTTCATGATACTTAATCTCGCCTTTAGTGGAGATTGCACATTTCTTCCATCTGAGTGTCAGCAAGTCTTTTGAAATAATACGCATAAATGGGAAGTAAAAAACTAAGATTCAAGACCATACTGTTCTGAACACTCAAATAATATTTAAATTTGTGTGATTCATTTTATTATTCGTTCCATTATCTGAGAAAGTAATATTTCTCCAATATTTACTACACTTGGTACGCTCACAGCTGGTAGTTGCAAAGAAACCTGAATTCAGATTTCAAGGTTGAGGAATTTCTGGTGAACACCCACAACAAACTAAATTAAACCGGCTCATTAGGATTCCTTCATAAACAAAAGCTAACAAAACATCTGTCTGGCAACAACAATACATACCCCATTCTTACAAAACATAGTTTAACTTCAAGTAGCAGACAGCTTCTGCCTTATCTACACAGTAGGAAATCAAAAGTTTCAGTATTATACTCACAGCGAATTCCGTAAATCATGAGAGGATCAAGTTGCTTCTTCCCATGCTTCCCCTGACCCGAAAGGTTGGAGATGGCCTGAATTTCCCGATGGAAGAGGTAATCAAGCAATGTCAGTGCCATCTTCTCAGCTGTGCGGCAGTTTGTGCTGATGTGCAGCATGTCAGCAGGCGTGATAGGGCAACGGACCCGCATCTCGGGATTATTTTCATCTCCGAGCCATGTCCCATTGGGATAATCCTCTAAAAAAAGAGATTGTGGAAATTCTAATTGTGGCACAGAATGAAACAGTCGGGTTCAAGTTACAGTCAACATTTCTTAAGTTATCATGAGCTCTTCCAGTTTTCTTCACGGTCTCCATAAACTTCATTAAAATTCAGCATGACTAATAGACTCACAAGATTTGCCACAGACAAAGTTTTTCTCAAATCCACACCAATGGTGACCAAAAGTTATTGCCATTAATGTTCTGGCCTACACGAGGAACTGGTGCAATTAGTCCAGATGGCTAACTCACTCGCAGATATCTTTTTGAAGCGTCTCATACATACTAGAGGCCAAAAGCTGAAAGAGCACACTATATTCACAGTGCTCTCATTCATCAAGTTAGTCATCCCCTAAAAATGAAGAAGTAGAGCTAATTTCAAGAAGCTAACAGCTTTGAACCACATTTTGCCCCAAAAGCATCAGATTAAAATGAGTCTAAGCAAGATTATAAATTGAAGAAATTACAAGCAAGAGTGAGCAGTAACCTATTTAATCACTTTAAAAGAGTATTTCGAGCAATGACAATCATTCAAAATGTAGCCAGAGATCCCAATAAAATTTTGGTCTTCCTTCAAATTTACTGGCCAGTAGTCTACATTATTTCCTAAACACACAGTTTACCGAGGAACAGGCCCAGCATAAAGATAATGAATCAATCACTAATCATCTGCCAAGTGCGCCTTCCCTTCTATTCAAGTATAAGGTCATTAGCAGCAGAACTATGCCTGACTTCTCTCGTGTGTACACACACACACATTTTATATATAAGAAGTCTTTTGATTTTTGTCCCAGCCTCTCAGTTTGGCAGGAAAAATAGTATTCCTCTTAAAATGAATAGTTAAGCCCTCACTTGAAATTAATCTTTGCAGGCAATGCCAAAAGTTAGTGGATTCAAGACTAACCAGAAACCCAAACAGAGCTCCTAAGGATGACCAGTCCCTACTGAAGCAGAGGATGCAACACAGGACCTAGGATTAGACTCTCATTCCAGATAAAAAACGAAATTTCCAGTACAAGTCTTGACAATGTTAATCGGAACTGGGTAGAACAACATTCCAGTGCTATTTCAATGTTCACTGACACAGACCATTTGGATTCGATTTCTATGTTTGCTCAACTTTGGGGAGTAAATCAACGCTTCCCGACCAAGAGGTCACTCAGCCCTTCCGTACTACAGCTTCAGTGTTTCGTGGCTGTTCCACACACCTTCCGAACGGTAAAAATGTGAATGAGTCATTCAATTACATGATTCCTCTTTCATTAAATGCCTTTGAAGTAGAGTTTTGTGGTATATACAAAGTCACAAATTCCCGGTTTTCCCTTCTAGTCACAAAATAGGGTGGCAGAGCTCAGACAGATGAGCGTATCCCTTGCACATTGAACAGGACCCCCGAGCCAGCAGCATCTTTATTTCCAAGTACTGGCAGAGATGAAGCAGCCTGCTTTTTACTAGACTACAAGCAAAAAGTATGCAATAAAATATAACATAAAAGCAACTCAAACACTAAAAACCACTTTTCCAACATGACCTTTTGGTTGAGTCATACCACATGTCAGATGCAAGTTTATTCCAATGAATAATGACAGTATGAAGCAAACATTAGGTTATGCAATACTGATATATCATTACAAACATCAGATGATCAACTATAATAATGCCTAAGGAAAAATATTGCTGATGTATGTAGCAGCTAGTCCCTCAAACTTTTTTTTGTTGCAAACAGAATTTAATGCTCTGTTCTGAATAAATTTTTTATATGCTCGCAGGTTTTTTTATACATATATTTTATTTAAACCTTACTTTTTATCCTGAACTATGTAATAGGGCACACTAGCTGTTTTCTGCTCACAGTACCAGGTGCCATCTGAAAAATAAGGTGGTTCAGATTAGTTAGTACTTGTTTTGAATGCCACTGTGTCTGGCTTCACCACAAGCCTTGTTAATATTACCAGGGACAGCAGTCAGTTTCTGAAGATAAACTGAGTGTTTTACAAAAATTTGGGTAGAGCTGGCAAAGCAAAAGACATCTCTGGATAAATGTGTAAGTTTTTCACAGAAATTCTAGGAAGCCTGAGTAAATGAGTCTCCATCCTCCTTCTTTAGCAGTTCACAGAATTGCTATTAGACATTAAGAGTTATTGCTACTTATGGAACACCTTTCACCTGCAGTCTTGTTTAACAAATGCTATGAACCTACATGAACCAAAGATTTTTTTCAATTTGCAGTATCTTTTTTCTTTCTTTTTTTTTTTCTTTTTTTTTTTCTTTTTTTTTTTCTTTTTTTTTTTCTTTTTTTTTTTCTTTTTTTTTTTCTTTTTTTTTTTCTTTTTTTTTTTCTTTTTTTTTTTCTTTTACTGGCACAGAGTCTAGAACATATTGTTTTTACCAAACGCAACTGTTCTTTTATTGCTAACAGCCAGGAAGAAAACCACTATCTTGTTATCCTGACCTACGAACACAAGCCCCACATTACATTACCTCTTGCGTTTCCCTCCCACTATAAAAGCTTCAACAGAAGGGCAATTTGCTTTATAATCATTTTGCATTAAGTGGAACTTGCATGACTAAAGTTAACCATGACTCTACTGTCTCACTGCAGCTACTTAAGGGCACAAAAGCTAAACTATTCCTTATCGTATATAAAAATAATTCCTACCAGCCTGCCAACACATCCGGCACTTTGCGTAGAGCAAACACGGTGCGATTGGCACACAAAAAAAAGAGGGTGAAAAGAGAAAGCACAGTGCCAGCGATGGAGGAGGCAGAACTGCTCTGAACAAGTGGCGTGGTATGGGAGCAGACAGACTGAATAAGGAAAGAGGAAAAAAAGACTGGGAGCTGGATGGAAGTTCCCACTGAACAATTAAGTACCTAAACACTATTGATTAAAGCTGCATCATTGGACGCTCCTAGCACTCAAACATCCTTTTGTGCTTACTGCAATGGTTCTTTACGTGTACTATCGGGCATTATATGTAGTATCTAGACAGAATCGAGATGAGTCAGGTTATTTAGTACATCCAGTGGAATAGCCAGATACCGCGCCAGGACTCTGCTAGGCACTGCACAACCGTACACAGCTGCTTCTATTCCTTAAAGACTACCAAAACATAAATAACATGTGAGGGGTTGGGGAGGAAGAATACAGTCCAAGAACACACTTGTCTTAAAAATAATGAAGCGTAAACCCACACCCTCCTCTCTCAGTTAATTGTACACCTTTTTTGTTTTGCCCTGAAGTATTTTTCTTCCATTCATTTTCCTAACGGCCTTGCTGCAATTCGAATGCACTTTGAGTGCTGTGTGGAAAGGTACTTCCTTGCGTTTCTTTACACCGAATATTGTATCATCAGAGAAGTGGCTCTTGATCATTCCCACTTCCAGTGTTAAAAGTCCTGACATTTTTATCTGATTTCTTCCCTGTACTTAGAAGCTCATTTCAATGACAGACAGACTAATTTCTAGCTCCTCTTCAATGCTTTTTTAAGATCAGAAAATTTGCCTTTATCTCCATTCTACTGAATCCAGAACTACTTTGCTTTTCAATGCTGTTTTCAAATCTTTTTTTACTGTATGAAGTCCATTTCTTTTATCTCACAACGCAGCTGACCACTCCTCTGTTTCGGCAGGCACACGCAAGGAGATGAGAGGCAGCTGGGGCTGCTGCACAAACACGCATTTTTATGGGAACAGGATGAGCGAGCTTTAAGGTTAGTATCAAGAAAACCTATGTCAAAAGAACAAAACCCAGACAAGAGTCACTGTGGCTTTCAGACTCGCTCTCAGCATGTGTATATGTTGTCCTGCCCGGGGAGATGACAGACACTTAACGGTTACTCACGTCTTTCCATTGGGATATGAGCCCCCCATGGGGGCATTAGCACTAAGACTGGAAGCAAAGCTAGGCTCCGCTCTCGCTAGGTGCTGTCACTCACTCCTTTAAACCAAGGAAATACAAAAGGAAACACCTGCCTACAAAAACACGTGGATTAACATGTTCCATTCTACCGAGCAGTTGTGTTTATTTTACTAACAAGGCTGGGTGCAAATCTGGCATTTGCAGAGAGAACAACCAGTAGCTGCAGTACAAAGGCCAAACGATGAATTAACCTCAAAAAAAAAAAAAACCACAAAACCCCAAATCCTAAATTATGAAAATAAATCTCTATTTCTAGAGAAATTAAATAATATTTTGGCTGATGTGTAGGAGATTCAACATTATCTTTTTAAATAAACTCCTGTCAATTAGCCTGAGTCCTTTGCCCCTGCAAGAGTTCACAGGGTTAGTGGTTACCTGACAGATATTACAGAGCACTGATTTTATTAACTAACAACCATTAAATGTAAGGAAACAGTGACACTCAGGCTATAAGTTAACCTACAAATCTAGCAGTGTGATTTAAGCTTGTGGTAAAAGAGAGGTTAAAGAACTCACTTTAAAGCTACATTCACCAAAACCTCCTCCCACCACAAAAAGCAGCTGAGATGCTGGGAGTTCTGGCAGAAGGAAGCGTACCCCATGCACACACACACACACACACCCGAACATCAGAAACCCTGGACACAGAACTGGAGTTTTTCACTTGACTCTTCTCATGGGGAAAAAAGGTTTAATTTCCATGTAAATGTAAAAGAGAGCTAGCCAGAAGAATCTCATGCTCCGAGCATAATTTTCTGTACAGTGCAAAGGATTTGGCTGAGAGAGACACAGTTCCAGTTAACATCTAAGCCCTTATGGTTAGAGGACCAGTACGCTGATCGAGATACTCTGAAAATACATCCTGCACTCTCCTGCATGCATGGTTTCTCCAGTTGTCTGCCAGACAATGTGGCATGAAAGAACGGGCACGCAGCACCAAAGCCCGCTTGTCTCAGCCAATACTACAGTGTGCACAGAAGTCTCAGCATGGCATCGGGGAGCTTACTTGTTTGTTAAAACTAACGCCTCAGTTTTAGCATATGGTTAAATCCATG